CCCCCCCCCCCCCTTAAACCACTTAAAGGGCCTGAAAGAACTGGTAAAGCAAGTGAAGAGCCTGCCAGCTGTCAATTATAATCTGCTGAAATATATCTGTAGGTAAGTGCTCTTGCAAGAATATCACAATGATATTTATAACTGTGAGCAGACAGACAAACCTGTCTGTGTATGTGCCCTGAAGGAAAAGCATTACTTAAAGTGATTGGTGAACTTAAGTGAATGCACTAAAAATACTGCTTCACTGCATGGCTAATTATTAATTTGCTCTATCAAGGTGCAAAGTTATGACTTTCCTTTCATAAACAGGCCGCACTCAGCAAGAAATGCAAGAAGGTAGAAATGAATATATTCTGTCCTCTTTATAGGTTTTCCCATTTCTAACTGCAGTTATTGGCCTCAGCTGTGCACTCCTGATGCATGGTATCCTTGAAAACTGCGTATGTCTTGTAGTATATAGAATAGTTTTGTGGATACATCTGTGATCTTAAAAAAGATGTCTTACACAGTTACAATTTGTGAATTTATCGAAAGTTCCCAGCATAAAAAAACATTTTTAAAATAATACAAACTTTTTTTTTTAACTGACAGTTTGCATTTTGAGGATATTTTACGAGCCAAGTAATTGATTAATTATGCTGGAGAATGTTACCATCTTCAGCAGAGTTATCTTGTAGTCAGTCCCGATTGAGATTTAAATTTTGTTTTCAGTGTATCATTTTGAAGAAAATCTGAAGAAGTTGAGGAGAATAGCCTTGAGCTTTCAAGATGTTCCATGAGGATTTGGAATGGAGTACTTGAACTATGTTAAGAAACCTTCACATGCTTTGACCTTTTTTTTTTTAATTATTATTTCCTTTTTACATGTTCCTTAAAGGCCTCTTTTGTCCTCACAGGTTCCTTGATGAAGTCCAGTCTTACTCAAGTGTAAACAAAATGAGTGTGCAAAATTTGGCTACCGTTTTTGGCCCCAACATCCTTCGCCCCAAAGTGGAAGATCCTCTGACTATCATGGAGGGTGAGCTTACTGTACATAACTTGTAACAGAAAGAAGGAATGTTTATTAACAGTACATACCAGTCCATGTAGTATGGGCAGTAAGTTCCATATATCTATTTTATAGACACAGAATTGTACAACCTGAATGAACTTCTGGGTTAAATCTTGCAGGTTACTATAAAAGTGACTGAAATGTGCAGCATTGCAAACAGACTTTGCATGAGATTGTGCTGCCCTGGCAACTTCACTGAAAATGTACTCTTTTTTTCTCAAAACTTACTGCAAATATGGCATGTTCTTATTCAGCACGTGTGGTTGGAATGCAGTTAATATTTTACGTGCGGTTCTTAAGGATGAGAAAAAGTTAGTACAGGTTCATACTGCAGTGACCCATGTAGAATCCCCTACAAGGCAGTGGTGTATTACATGTTTTCTCGCACAACAGTGATCAAATTGTCAGCGGCATTCTGTTACTTACAGCAATGTCCAGCTGTAGCATTTTGCTGTGATTAAGACAAAAATATGGCCATGACAATCTCCTCCTATAATTTCCTCTTAGGCTTAATCTTTGTGACTTTAATTCTCAATAAAGTACATGATGCCTTTTCTCCCTCCAAACACTTTTTTCTTAATATGTAGGATTTACTTAACTTTGTCAGAAATTAGGGCTGTACACTGACTCTGCACTGAAAATTTTACCAAAACTCAAAAATGCAGTGTTTGTAGTTTATTTGTAGAGCATGTGGATTTATTATTTTTCTGTGAATTTGATGCTTTTTTTCTCTTCCCCAGATACAATTCCCCATACTTTGTTCATTTACTTGTTTTTCTGAAGTCGTATGTTTCCTCCATCTTCCTTTTAATTCTTAACACAACGACTAGGTTGTTGTGAACAGAAACATGGTGTTTCCAAATCATGTACGAAAACAGTGAATACCCACAGTTAGCTGTCTGAACAGTAGCTCAGACAAGCCAGAAAACCTTCTAATGTGGAAAGGGTTTTTAATCATCATCTTCACTTTAATGTCTGGATTCTGATTGTCACAGAGAATGGTTTGATCATGCATTTGACTCAAAAGGGTTTGCAAGAGCAGGTATCCAATTTACATGCATGTTTATTATGACTGTGCCTAAGTACCATCAAACCTGTGCAGCTTCAAGTACCCTTATATCTGCATTTGTGGCTTCCCCTGGTTTTCTGTACATACTTGTCTCAAATGAACTGTGATGATCTGACATGGGGGTGCAGAGATAAGCTTCAGTGTGTCATTGAAGTCCTAGTTTACGCATCTTACATCATCTCCACATTTTGAGAAACACAAGAGTCTTTCCTGCTTTGTTTCCTTCCTCTTCAACTGTCTTGTCATGTGTCTCACAGGACTTAACATTGTGTGTGTGTGTGCACAAGCGCACACGCTACCTATCACTTCACTTTCAACCTGTCTCTTTCTTTGTACCTACAGACCTGCCAGACTGACTGAAATAGTAGCTTCTCTTACCCTGACACTTGTGTACAGCTTAGCAGCCTGGTAGATAACTGCTGTAAATGTTTCTCTTGGTCAGGCAGCAAACTGTCCCTTTTTTCCCCATGCTTTTGCATTAAATGTTATAAAAAGTACTTAGAATTGTTCAATATATAGGAATTGGAGAGACATATCACAAAGCTGATCTATACCACGGAAGTCAATGAGAATGCTGTCTCACAGTATGACATTTACTGATGGAATACCATGTATCTTCAGCTCACCTGGGGCAGGGGAGACAAATGGAGATTTGGGATGGGGATAGAGGAGTTAGCCATTCCTAAATAAAATACTATCTTCTAGGTTTGTATTTTTCCAGAACTGGCTGCTGCCTAAAGTTTGTGGGATTTTTTTGGTGGGTTTTGTTTGTTTGTTTGTTCGGGGTGATTTGTGGGGTGGTTGGTTTTTTGGGGTGTTTTTTTGGTGGGGTTTTTTGGGGGTTTTTTTTGAAAGTTTGAGCAAGAAAGTTTAAAATAATGTTTTTCCACTGCTTGAAAGCAACTCTCTAGCCTGCTTATCAACAGCCCTAGCATTAAAATGATGGTGGCTGCTGTAGGAAATGGCATGGATACTACACCCATTGAAGGGAAACACATATATTTTTTTTAACTATTGAGAAACAGGTTTGATTAAACAGATTTATGACTTCTCTTTAAGCATAACTTTAAGATTTGACATGAGACAATGCTGTTTTGTAATTGAGCTACACATAGTAAATGTACAGGAAATTTTAACAAAGACCATACATTGATTAGTGCTCATGGCCACCCTTCTTCATTGCTCTTTGCTTTTTGGAAGATACAGAGTGCTTTTCTTGCACAATCATTCAAAGTCAAACATGCAGCTATGGGTAACCATACCTGTAAAATGGGGATGAGGAGTTGTTTTTGTTTGGTTCAAGAGAGATTTTCCAGAATTCCAATCATGGGGCAGTTTTTTCCTGTCAAATGCAGTGGTAAAAGTTGCCTGAGTACAGTGAAATGTTTATAGTAAAACTCTGCACGTAACAGCTAATGTTCTTGGAAGGAATACAGCTAAATGTGCCACGGGAGTAACTAAGTGAATTTTCCTGCTGCATAGTTCTAATGTATGATTTTGCCTTAGCAAACAAACAAACAAGAACACTAAAAAAAGATATTGTTGAGTACCTGCACTGAATTGGCTCTTAGTAGTTGTATTTTAAAAGGGTGGCGTATAAAGATCCAGGATATTACAAAGGAGTTGATGTGAAACGATATTGCACAGTAGGAAATTATTGATTAGAAGAGCACCGCTAAGAGCTTAAAAATGGGGTGGTTATTATAACTACCTTGACCTTGTTCCTGAAATATTGTTAATAGTCCTTAATGAGGGTCTACTTAATGAAATAGAGTAGCACATCTTTGTTACCCCAAGCCCAGTTATAAATGAGAGTGTGTAAATGACAGTGCAGTCAAGTGGTGCGCACACCAAGGGGTTGTTCTTTAAGAGGAAAGGTAGCCATTTATTACAGCAAGTAGCAAGCTGTGGTCCTACATTAGTTCCATACTATGCTATAACGTGGCGTAGTTTCCTGGTTGCATACAGTCTCACTACAGAGTGGTTAAAGGCATTCACATTAAATTAATTCTGTCATATTACTGCCCTGTTTTGCTCCAAAAGACTAAACACCTGTGTCATTATTTCCTTCTGTGGTCTCTCTGGGATGCAGTTACTGTCACGGTAATAGCTTCTTCGCAGAAGTTCCTTGTTCTTAGGTGGGCTTGGTTTGATGGAAGGAAGAGGTGGTGCTGATCTGGTCCGGTAGCCAGAGGCACTTCAGGTGTGTTAAACATTCAGGGTGTTACATAGATGGATGCATTACGTAGATGTTTGTATAAGCTGAATGTTTACTAAGTATTTGTGGAATCTGATGGATAAAGTATATTTACGCCCTAAACAAAATAGTCCATTAATGACCACATGCTTGGTGTCTCCTTTCAGGTACAGTAGTAGTCCAGCAGCTAATGTCAGTGATGATTAGCAAACATGAAGAGCTGTTTCCCAAGGATACAGACCCTCAGATGGGACCTGAGGTATGCAACAACAACAATGAAATGCCAAAGAAAGTGATTGCGGGGCAGCTACAGAACAAAGAGAACAACAACACCAAGGAGATGGCAGTGAGGCGCTGCTCTTGGGACAAACCTGAGTCTCCCCAAAGGGGAAGCATGGACAATGAGTCTCCAACTGCTCTGCCAGGCAGCAAGACAAATAGCCCCAGGAACAGCATCCAGAAACTAGATGTCACCAGAAGCCCACCACTCATGGTGAAAAAAAATCCTGCTTTTAATAAAGGCAGTGGCATAGTCACCAATGGGTCCTTCAGCAGCTCTGTTGAGGGCCCTGAGAAGAGCCAGACCTTACCAAACTGTACCCTGCAAACCAGGAGAACGTCGTCCCTGAAAGGACCAGTGACTAAGATGGGCACACACAGTGTGCAGAACGGAGGTGTGCGGATGGGTGTTTCTAGCACAGATGGGCACAGCAACACCCTCAACAGCCGGACCCCGGGCTGGGTGCCCAATGGCTATGTCACACTGAGGGACAACAAGCAGAAGGAATCAGTGAGTGAGTCAGGCCAGCACAACAGGCTTTCTACCTATGACAATGTCCACCAGCAGTTCTCTATGGTGAACTCTGATGACAAACAGAGTGTGGACAGTGCCACCTGGTCAACATCTTCTTGTGAAATATCCCTCCCTGAGCACTCCAACTCCTGTCGTTCATCCACCACCACCTGCCCTGAGCAGGACTTTTATGCGGGTAACTTTGAAGACTCTGTGCTGGATGGACCACCACATGAAGACCTCTCTAACCCAGGTGACTATGAGAACAAAAGTGACAGAAGGAGCGTGGGGGGCCACAGCAGCCGAGCCACCAGCAGCAGTGATAACAGTGAAACGTTTGTGGCCAACAGTACTAACAATCACAGTGCTTTGCACAGCCTGGTGTCCAGCTTGAAGCAAGAGATGGCCAAGCAAAAACTAGAGTATGAGACAAAGATAAAAAGGTAAGACGGTTTGCCTCTACCATCTGACTGCCTTTTGCAGAGTAAATCCAAATTTTTCCCTCTCATGACTTGCTAGCAATCTCCACTAGCTGCAGTCACTGGGTGCTCACCACTGAGTTGTTGGTCTTTCAGTGTTGACATACTCTGACATTGCTTTTGCAATATCATGATCCAAAGGGGTTTGTTTCAGAGCAATTGCTTGCCATGGTTGTGGCACGCTATCCTACTGGCATCAAAAATAAAGCCAGAACCTTGTGAATTTCTGTAGAATCTAATTAACAACATCAGTAGGCTCTCACAATGTTTTCATTAGTTGATGCCTGTTCTCCAGACACTGAGAAGGGCAACTGGACATCACCTTTCAGTGAAAGCAGTGCCATGGCTTATTCCACATGTAGTTTTTGGGACAGGGAGACTGCTGGAACTCCTTTCCAGAGTCCTTGTTCCTCCTGAGACAGTGCTGCATCTGGGAGTTACCTCTGCTCATGGTCCTATCTCCGCACTGCTGCTTTGCCTGAGCCTTTCCTTCACAGCTCAGACCTGTTACAGAAGGCAAGGGAGAGCCGTGTCTTTGTCTACAGATAGTGCGGACTCTTCTTGCACACAACGAGGTTGCTAGGGTGGATGGCCATAGTCATCAGTGAATAACCTCAAAGTCCAGGCTTACATTAACACTGCAGGGCAGTGCAGAGCTGAACATGCTCTCTTTGTAATATAGGTTCTTCAGTAACGCTGTTCAGGACTTGTTCTCACCTCTGTTGCACAGCAGTCCTTTGCATTGGTACCTCTGGCACTGCAAGTCATAGCTGGATCACAACATGTGAGAGCTACTGGCAACAGCAGCTGACAGTGAAAGTGCAGCATACAGAATATTGCAGTCTTTCGCCCACATCACTATTTTCAGTGTAGTATGCAGTGTAGTAGAGCACTTCTTATAATGTTTAATATGCATGATGACTGTGTGTTTAGTACCACTAGAATTTCTAATACTTTCCATTGGAAAGCTAGATCTGAAATAGGGTCAGTTTTTTAGACAAAAAACATGTTAATAGTGGTTTGTGGTTTTTTTGTTTTTTTTTTTAAATTAAATAGATAGAGCAGATAAATCAGCTGAAGAAAGGAGATTAGCAGTGAAACAAAGGCATTCAGGGCATTATTCTGACCTTCGAAGTGACACTAGTGCAACTACAGCAGGAGCTGGGTGTCAACACTTCCAGAAGTAGAAGGAATACTTAGCCTATTCCTGGAGAATTAGATGGAGCTGTTTGCTACTATGAACCTTGCCAGTGGCTGTTATTAGGCATTTTCTAAATGAGCTACCAAAGAGATTGCCCTATGAGAATGGTTCATTGAGGAAGCCATGGTTTGTAGATATACCTCTCAAAAATTCAGTCTAAGCCTTGTAAATGAAAAGACACATGTATGAATTTGGTGTGCATTTCTGCTTGAGTGAGTGAGGAGTGCTGCTCAGGATCTGTCTGCTTTTATTTTGTTTTTGCAGCTTGGAGCAGAGGAATCTCACTCTGGAGACAGAAATGATGGCCCTGCATGAAGAACTGGATCAAGAGCGGAAGAAGTTCACAATGGTAGAAATCAAAATGCGTAATGCAGAACGGGCCAAGGAAGATGCAGAGAAGAGGAATGATATGTTGCAGAAGGAAATGGAGCAGTTTTTCTCCACTTTTGGAGAACTGACAGTGGAGTCTCGCAGACCAGAAAGAGGCAACACCATCTGGATCCAGTGAGCATTGGAAGCGTAGACTGTGGGACTTTGGGGAAGGGCTTGGGGTATTATACTGTATCAGGTGGCTGGTCACCTGTCTGAGGCTAGTACTCAACATAATGTTATAAACCCTTGAAGGAAGAAATCATACAGACATTAACCACTCATATCTACAGTGTGTACTTATCAAGCTATACTCTTTGAATGCTTCTTGATACTACTGTCAAGTGTTACAACTGGATACGTGTATATAAATTTAAAAAAAATCACCTTAGCAAGAGATGTATCTCAAGAAATATTTTAATGCAAGTCTTGTATTTAAACTGGTAAATTGAAATGTTGTTGCAATCAAGCTTTATATCAAGGCTTTTCTCCCTTGCACTTAACATAATAAGCTATTTTTGGCATTGTGTTACCATCAGCTTATTTTGTATATCAAATGTTTTTTTGTTTTGGTTGGGTTTTTTTTGTTACCCCTCTTGCTGGGGAGTGAAGATAAACAGATATGTTAAGGTATATGTGCCGATGGTTAACCCTGATTTGCGTCGCTTCTAAAAAGACAGCAGGATGAGAAACAGCAGCATGCTATGGGCAAAATAAAGTGGTACTAATTTCACAGAATTGATGGCCGGGGTAGAAAGTACCAGGACACCCATATCATAAAAAAACAAATGAGGATATCAAGTCAGCAAAATTGGGGACAATGGCAAAAGGGTAAACAGCTGCTTGTTTGGGAGCAAATGTGGGTGGCAGAGTAAGAAGTTGGGAGAGGGGAAAGGGGAACTTAAGGGGAAGTCAATCACAGGACCAGAGCTTTTTGGGGTACCCTTAAAGAAGCCCTGTGCCTGATTACTGCAGCTCAGAGCAGGAATATAAACTAGTTGTTCTGACCATATTTGCATCTGACTTACCTCTGTACTCTGGGTGAAACTGAGTCTTTTTTGTAATGCTGGTGAAGGGACACACAGAGGGGATAAACTGGACATCCCCATAGCCTTGTCAGTGTGGTGGGTGCTGAAAAAAATAACAAAACAATTATGTCTAGAGTAGAAACTGCCAAAGCAAGTGTGTAACAAACAGCAAATAAGGAAGAAAACACACCAACATATTCATCACTCATATTTACAGTGTATATTAGCAAGTTACCATACTGTCTGAATGTTTCATGAGATTACTGTCAAGCGTTACAACTGTGAAAGTTCCCAGGCTCTCAGCATCACCAAGGGAACACACAGAGGGAACAGCCTGGAGCCTAACAGCATGCAGAGTGCCAATCAAACAGAAACAGCAAAGCCATGCTGTAAATTAATAATTTGTTTGGCATCTTTACATATAGTAAGTATAACTGGTAATTTCTACACCATGTTAAGGATTTTTTGTTTTTAACTTTGCATTTAGGACTGCAAGCTATATTATTACAGAGGGTTGTTGAGACATCTTGGCTTCCCTCTAGTGTCTCTTAAATATATTGCAATTATTTTTTAATTCCAATTGAGAAAGAATATTCTTGGTTATAGCATGTATATTAGACAAGTATTAATTAGGTGGGGGAATGATACTGGGAAGCAAACATGAGGTTTACATTTCAGAGAAATACTAACTTACAATAGAGCATTACATGTGGTGCTTGTGGATGCATTATTTGTGTCTGGTAAGGTTCAGAGTTCCCAGTCAGGGCGCCTATTGTACTGATTACTGTGAACATGTCTGGTGCACATCCAGTCTGTGTGTAAATCAGAAAAAGTCAACTGTGAACATGTCTGGTGCACATCCAGTCTGTGTGTAAATCAGAAAAAGTCAGACAGGGAGAGATCAAGGTAATGGGAAGGAGCATGTTTTAAGTCAGTTAGTAGCAATCACAAGATGTCACCACAATGGTGAGAGAAGGAAACAGATTACTATGTTAATTCCAATTTTTAAATTGAATGGGAGACACCTTGATATCTGATGCAGTAGGCCTCAAAGTTGGCTCACAATTTAAGCAGTATCTGACATCTGTTGACATGACAGCAAAGTCTCTGAGATAAGTATTTTCTTAACTGGAATTCATATTTTTACTCTAGATGTATACAGTAGTCCCCGCAGCAGTATCCTGGGATGGAGAAAGTCCTGCTTTCTCACTCAGAGTAAGCCGATTTTCTCATTTTCATAGAATGGTTTGGATTGGAAGAGACCTTAAAGATCATCTAGTTCCAATGCCCCTGCCATGGGCAGGGACACCGTCCACTAGACCAGATTGCTCATAGCCCCATCCATCTTGCCTTGAATACTTCCAGGGATGAGGCATCCATAACTTCTCTGGGCAACCTGTTCCAGTGCCTCACCACCCTCATAGTGAAGAATTTCTTTCTTATATCTAATCTAAATCTATGCTCTTTCAGTTTAAAGCCATTTCCCCTTGTCCTATCACTACATGCCCTTGTAAAAAGTCCCTCTCCAGCTTTCTTGTAGGCTCCCTTCAGGTACTGGAAGGCTGCTATGAGGTCTCCGCACAGCCTTCTCTTCTGCAGGCTGAACAACCACAACTCTCCCAGCCTTTCTTCAATAGGAGAGGTGCTCCAGCCCTCTGATCATCTTCATGGCCCTCCTCTGGACTTGCTCAAACAGGTCCATGTCTGTCTTATGTTGGGGGCCCCAGAGCTGAATGCAGTACTCCAGGTGGGGTCTCATGAGAGCGGAGTAGAGGGCGAGACTCACCTCCCTTGACCTGCTCGTCATGCTGCTTTTGATGCAGCCCAGGGTACGGCTGGCTTTCTGGGCTGCAAGTGCACATTGCCAGGTCATGCTGAGCTTCTCATCAACCAACATCCCCAAGTCCTTCTCCTCAGGGCTGCTCTCAATCCATCCTCTGCCCAGCCTGTATTTGTGTTTGGGATTGCCCTGACCCAGGTGCAGGACCTTGTACTTGGCCTTGTTGAACTTCATCAATTTCACATGGACCTACCTCTCAAACCTGTCAAGGTCCTTCTGGATGGCATCCCTTCCCTACAGCATGTTGACCACACTACACAGCTTGATGTCATCAGCAAACTTGCTGAGGGTGCATTCAATCCCACTGTCCATGTCATTGATGATGATGTTAAACAGCGCCGGTCCCAATACTGACCCCTGAAGAACACTACTTGTCACTGGTCTCTGCTTGGACATCAAGTCATTGACGTTTCTTTGAGTGTGACCATCCAGCCAACTCCTTATCCACCAAGTGGTCTATCTGTCAAATCCATGTCTTTCCAATTTAAAGACAAGGATGTCATGTGTGACAGTGTAAAATGCTTTGCACAAGTCCAGGTAGATGGCGTCAGTTGCTCTTCCCTTATCCACCAACACTGTAGCCTCGTCGTAGAAGGTCACCAAATTTGTCAGGCACGATTTGCCCTTAGTGAAGCCGTGTTGGTAATTTTGATTTATTACTCTACCCTTAATTGGTTTAGTGGTGGACTTGGTAGTGTTAGGTTAATGGTTGGACTGGATGATCTTAAAGGTCTTTTCCAACCTAAATGATTCTATGATTCTATTAAAAACAGGCTGTCAGAATGCTACAGTCGAGGGACCGAGAATAAAAGAGGGAGGCATGCTTACTGCTGTTAATCCCATCTCCGGCCACATCGTCAGAGCACTGTGGTGGGTGATGGTGCCATATGTGTCTTCGCACAGTAGACTGGAATAGTGGTAGACTCACCGTACCTTTTAAGTGTTAGATTCTGATGCTTTGCTCAGCAAAGCTTCTGTCTTCCTTTCTGTTTGTGAGAATCCTGCTACACATTCGGAGTGTGCTTTGGTGCAGCAGAATAATTAAACTTACTACACGTCTTTGTTACATGACTTTCAGCACTGGATAGAGCAAGTTTCCAAATATAAAAATTAATAAATAAAATGTTATGTTAAGTGATATAAAACCCAGTATGTTAGGTTTTCATAAGAACGAGGAGGAAAGGAGCTTGCTAAGATTACCACTCTAAGATCTGTAAGCAGTACTTGATCCAGTAGTTAAAATGATGGTCCAAAAATTTTTGAGAAAGATCCCATTTGCTAAAAAGAATGACTGTTTAACAACTACTTATTCTATAGCATTCCCAGAAGGATGGAGGAGAGGCAGGGTAAGGAGACACTGAATAAACAGGTACACTGATTTGCATGTTTTGACAACCCAGTCAAAACAGTGATTTGCCTCCAGCTGCTGTGCACTTGAACCCTTCCTGGCTGAGTGAAACTCCTAATTAATTTCCTTTCTTATTTTGAATTCCCTCTGGAGTCTGTCCATTGAAGAAGAGAGTGTCTGCAGACTCTCTGTGCCCCTGGCAAATCTGCAAGGAAGTAGGGGGGAGGGAAAGGGAAGATGGGAGAAAAGAAATTAACACATACTTGTGATGTGGGCATGCAAAAATAGAGGAAACAGATGGGAGAGATGAGGAGAACAAGGAAGTCAATATACTTGAAATTGCTATGTGTAGGTGGTAGTAATTTGCCCTCAGTTAAGAGCATTCTTTCTGAAAGCTTGTCTCTACAAAAAGGTTACTGCAGTTAATGTTGCGCTATTCTTTCAGAGCATTTTCGGCTCTAAATTACTTTCTGGGCTGCTACCAGTAGCTAGGTCAACTGTTTCACAGACTACCTTCCTTGCTTTTATCAGTCCTATGTGCTAACAGTGAGAATTCACGTGGAGAGATACCTAGCAAAGCCGTTGCTGTGAGAGCTGAATGCAAGGCAGGGAGCCCCAGAAGGTCAGACGCTTCTCCATGGATTACCAGCACTTGCTCTGGGAACTGCTAATGGCCCCCAGGCTGTTGTTCAGCATCTCGAGAGCAGTGCTTCTCAGGAAATAAAATATACGGCAGATGCCCTGCTGATATAAACTGCCATAGCTCTACAGAGGTTTAGGAAGCGGTGAGAGAAGCTGAGGAGCTTTCCCTACTAGGCTTTTAGAAGCTGTCATAATGTGTGTATTTACAATTAGCGTTGGTGGTCTAGTTTTGCTGGAGGAATGCTTGTCAGCAATAAAACAAGTTTCTTTAGTATGCCAATAATAATGGAGAGTGCCAAAAATTTTTGAGGCCAGAAAAATGAGCATGATGTGAATATATTCCTCCCTTTTTCCCTAAGGCATCCAGGATAATGAGCTTTATATGCCATACAATTCCATTTCTGAATCTCCTAAATGCAAGAATGGAAAATCCTTTCTACACCTCTGTGTGTATTACTCTGTTCATGCAAAAGAGTTTTAAAACAATTCATGTGTTCAGCACGGCTTTATTGTGATGTTTAAAATACTGTTATGAGCATGGCTGTAATTTTTTAACTCTATAGTATTTAGGAGGTGACTTGGCTTGAGACCAAAACAGGTAGTTTTGAACACCAAGATTTTCTCTGTTGTTCAAGTCACAAAGGCATGCTCTTTATTTTCTGACCTTAACAGTTAACCTTAACAATTGGACAAAAGGGTGTTTCTTAGTTTGATTTTTTTTTTTAGGTTTAGATTGCTGAAATGTAGTCTACAGCTCAGTCAAAATTATAGTGAT